CCCCAAAACCCCAAAACCCCAAAACCCCAAAACCCCTATGTAATTTTAATCGGCTGATAACTAAATTCATGAGAATCATTATGGAAAATGTTACATTTGTTCTCTTGGCTTGACCACTCTTCGGTTAAATCTCTTCAAAATCTCAATTTGGTCCTTTAAAATGGTAATATAGTTCTGCATCTTTAGCTCCATGAACTTAGTCATTTTGGTGTCGTGGACAGGCTCTTTTATATGTTCGAGGACCTTATCAGCAAGGTCTTTCTTGTATCTCTCTCGTTTCCTTTCTTTCCTCTCTTCTTCCTCTTCCTCGAGAGCCTTTTTCTTCAGGTCAATGATCAATTGGGTCAGTCTGGTAGTCTTTTTGTTTTTGTACCTATTTATTAGAATAAAGGTTACATGTTAAGCACGAAGGCTCTCCTCACACAATCTTTGAACTTCTGCTTTAATCGGTTTATCTTATCTTCCCCATTATAGATGTGGTTTACCTTGAAATCTCATACAGGAACTCCATACTCGTGGATAAAACCATTTGCTAGTTCATCATTAAGATCAGCTAACTCTAATCTTAAGTTCTCCAACATTGCAGTATTGATACTCTGGATAGTGACATTCGTTTTTGCTTGGTACTGGAACATCTGTGGAGCTTCAATGAGTCACGAGAATTGTCCAAAATGCGAACCCTTCTTTAAAGTCTCAATGACGACAATCTCTCCTGTGTCCATCTGGACATTAATATCAACCTCGCCGTCAACAAGGATCCATATCTTATCAAGACTATCTCCAGATTCGACTAAAATAGTTTCTTTTTCATAATAATCAGTTTCTAGAGAGTAAAAGATTTCTTCCAGACTTTCTTGAGATAAGTTTTTGAAATAATAAACTGTGTTAATAATCTTAAACATGAAAGTCTTCCATCTATCTTTGTACTCTCATCTCTTCTGTCTCATTTTCGTTAAAAATTCTGGAAACAGTTTGCAGATCTCTCTAAAGCCTTCAATTTTGAGAATGGCTCAAGTGCAGTAATTTAGACACTGCACTGTTGCAGTTCTTGGACATTCAGCAATGAGAGCGACCTCCCCAAAAATATCTCCAGACTCAAGGATTCTGACGAAGGACTGCTTGTTGTACTCATCCTTGACCAAAACAGCTAGTTCTCCTTTAGAGTTTATGTACATTCCATCAGGATTGCCTCCTTGCTGTGTAATAATGGCTTCTGGAGGGTACGAATTAACTAAAACTTTCTCAATAACCATTTCATTTAACTCAGGATTATCTCCAAAGACAGGGTTACTTATCAACACTTGCAAGAAAATATGCCTTGTCACTTCTAACTTCAGACTTGGAGAGATCATAGTCTGGAAATCTTCCAGCTCTCGTTGGGTTTCCAGATTACTTTGTGTATAAAACAAGTAATCCCTCACCTTCTTCTGCAAATACAGAGGAAGCCGGATATTCTTCATTGAGGTATTAGCAATATCAATCTTCTCCTGAAACCTTGATGCTTTTTGGTTCATTTCTTGAACAATAACAGCCATGTTTCCAAAAATATTAGCGTTGATAATAGCACTCATAAGAAGCACGATGATTGAATTAATTCTTTGAGAATCATCTCTCGGCCCAATTCCACTTCCTCCAAGAAGAATAATTGAGTGATAAAATCATTGCATATATTGTAGCTCTATGCTGAATGTGGTGTAAGTCTCAGTCGCTAGGAACATAAAGTCCATCTGAGGAATCCAGATCTTAGTATCTTTGATGTTATACCACCAAATTCATGCTGAAAAATGAATGTACAGGAGAAGAAAATATACCAGCCTTAAAAGTTTCAAGATCATCTTTGCATCTTCTTTAAAATGCGTAACACTAAGCAAGTTAATGATCCTATTCAATCTTGTAACTCTGACTACTTTGAGCAATCCAAACAATTTGAAGACAGCCAGAGCTCCTTCTGTTGAGAAGAACAGATCAAAGGGAATGGTTGATAATAAATCAATCCAAAACCTGCTCTTTAAATACAAGATAGCGATTTCCTTTGGCTCAGTTATTTCATCTCCTCCTGAACTATTAATATAAGTAGTCCGGAACGTGAGGATAATATCCACCAAGAAGCAGAAATCTATAAAGCAGTTTAGCACAAGCCACCAAGTGGTTTCAGCTATTTGTGGCTCAAAGGAGATTTCAAACGGAATAGTATATCAATTCCAAGTGGCTAAGGCCATTACAAACAGGTCCCATTTGATCCGGTTAGGATCGTTGACTCTAATAATACACTTCTTGTCAACCACAAAGATACTCTCAATGGCGTCCATTTTGAGCTCTTCCTTCTCCTTTTTATCAGGCATAGGTGCTACCTTAGCAGTAGACTTAGGATTAGTCGAAGCATTACTAGATTCATCAAAGTAGTCCTTCTCATCTTCCTCAGGTTGGCCAGTCTTCTTCTCCTCTGTCTGAAAGAGCATATTGTAGTACCCAGTTGAACGCTTCTTGCTGTTGAAGAACCGGTCCAGTTCTTCATTGTTGAAAGACTTCTTCATCCTGTTGCTGTCAGGCCTTGGTTCCTTTATGACCACCTAGAGGTTAATCAGATAGGGAATTCTACTGCAGAATTTTGGAAAAGGTTGGAATTAAGGCTTTAGATTATTCACAGATTTAACCCCATTTATTTGGGAATTAGAACTGTGAAAGGACAATAGGGAAATATGAAAAGATTGAGATATATGATTCAGATTTTCCCAAGAATTTGTAGAAGAGCAGTCTTATTTCTAACAAGAGTATGTCTGAGTTTTGGATAAACTTTGTTATGAACGAATCTTATCTTTAAAGAAGAGGTTTTCCTTTAAAGTATTCTTTACTATCTTAGAAGTCCAAAAAATTCCTCTCTATCTATAGATGTACTTCTTGACTATAAATTCATTATTTTCGCATCAATTTTTGTATCAAGGTTTAGTATTCCAAATCTGGAGAGATTCAAGTACACAAAACAAGTCTAATATTTCGACTCATTACTCATCTAAACGCCTCAATGCTAAAGCCACAAAGGACAGCCAGACCCCACCTCCAACAAACCACTGAATCCATCTCTCAAGTACTTACTGAATCCCTTCTCTGAAACTGTTCTTCTCTTTGGCTGGCGTCTCCTTTGTTATCATTATTCCTCTAAAAATTACCATCTTACTTCACCGATGAGCTATTTCTGAGAAGTTATGTTGGATAAAGTGTTCTCCAAAGAGTCCTCTGACGCATTATTCTCTTGTTCTATAAATCATGTTCGAGCATTGGCACGATCAAACCCAGTTTGAGCAAAATTTGGAAGAAGAATGACAAAGTTTCAGTATAAAAACATGCAATTTAAAATACAAACTTGGTTCAGAAAGTTAAGAATATTCTACAGAAAAATATTGAATTTTAAATGTATGCCTTAAGTTTAGAAGTTTCTTATTAATGGGAAGTACCTGACCCGCTTTCTCTTGACAAATTTGAACTCTTGTACTCTTCAGTGTCTTCCCGAATTACGTTCTTATCTTGTTGATTATCAAATTCGTTCATATTTAATATTATATCAAATGGGGTTTTGGGGTTTTGGGGTTTTGGGGTTTTGGGGTTTTGGGGTTTTGGGG